AGGGGTAAACTATATGCCCTTAAAAGTGTCTCAGCCTCAGACATCTCACCAAGCACTGCTCACAGACCTTTGGATAAATGTCTAATGCATATGGCACATTTTTCTGCAAAGACTTTAGCAAATCCTCTGATTTGTTTAAATATCTATGATTTCTGGAAGTGTGCAGTATGCAGAAATCTGATAGTCTGATCTGATAAAAAAGCTGTGATGATTATATTGATGATATCGCTTATTAATAAACGTATAGCTTTCTGAGACATTCATGAGTCAGTGATTTACTAGCTGCACACCCGTCTGTTATTTTGAAGATCTGAATCAGCAATACTCACTGCTTTAAAAAAGCTTTAACATGTGATGTTGACTCAAACACAGGTGTGCTTACCCAGCAAACACACAACATCATAAAACGTTAAAATTAGGTTAGATTTAGATCGCCAGCATCTTAGGACGTTTTTTTATGTTCAATAATGATGTGAAATGACATTAATAATTGGTTGATTTTAGGTTGTGTTGTGAAAATGACCAAAATCCAACATCAGGACAACATTTTAAACCAACGTCATTATTGATGTCAAATAGGCATGAGACGGTAACCGTTTTTAAGGTATACCGCGGTTTGGAAAAGTCAAGGTTTTAAAACCAACAACTTTTTCTGCTATACTGTTCCTAAGGTATATGTAAGATTTTTTATTCACTGTTATTTACAACAACAGTGTCTCCAGCAGACAACATCACCAAAGATGCCGTTTTAAATTGTAAATAAATCAATGCTTTTGGAACTAATGAAGACAGCAGCAGTCAAATGTTTACTGGTCCAAAATAGTTTAAATGTTCTTCAAAATAAAATATAATGTGTTAAAAGGGTGAAAAGGTTTTTGTTTTTAGCCAGACATTTCAAAAGAACATATTTTAGAGCAGTTATCACAAACCGTGATATGTTTATCCAAGGTTATCATACCTTCAGAATATCATGCCTAACGTCAAATACTGACATTTATTCGTCAGGTATGGCAACCAATATACATCTGATAGACGTCACAGAACGCCAAGCTGTCACATCATTAGATATCGATATTTGGTTGTTTTTAGGTTGCGTTGGAAAGTGACCAAAATGCAACATCTGTCTGACGTTAAACTTTGACGGTGGCCTGACGTTGTGCTCTGATGTCAACCTGATTTTTATTTCCAAACAAAATATAGCGTCCCATTTTGTTGGGGTATAACGTCAATCTGATATTATGCTGGGTATATTCTCTCTTTTTTTAATGGCAGTGCAAACCTTCAAACATTCTGTCATTTCTATAGTAATTTATTCCCTTTATCAATGCTAAGTTGATGATGATTGTTGAGTTGACCTTGTTTAATATATTATTTTAGTGTGGTTTTGATGTTCTTGTGAGTCATGAGACTGTAGCATTTATAAGAAACTCTAGATGCACCTGATCACTGTTACCCTCATGAAGGCAGCTCTCTTTTTAAAGATTAACCATGTCAATAAAGGCTTTAAATCAGGGGTGGCCAACCCTGTTCCTGGAGAGCCACCATCCTGCAAATTTCAGTTGCAACCCATATCAAACACACCTGCCTGTAATTACCACATGGTGTTCAGGTCCTAATTAATTGGTTCAGGTGTGTTTGATATGGGTAGCAACTAAAATCTGCAGGAAGGTGGCTCTCCAGGAACAGGGTTGGCCATCCCTGCTTTAAATAAAGGCTCACATCTTTCCAGTGCCTTGGCTGATTTTTGCTGTTTATTTTTTCATTTTGGTCATAAGGATAAGAGAAAGACATCATCAAAAACAGCAAGTAATTTTTTTTTTTATTTGTAGATACTCACAAATACAACAGAACCTTGCGTTTATAGAACAAAGAAAACTTCTGAATTATTTAGTCAAGCTGTGAGACTGTGCAATTGTTAGGCATTCATGATTGGTTGCGGTGCCAGTAGTGTTGTTAGAAGTACCAAATTCAACTAGTCTGTACTGAAATGTAAGAAAAATAAGATTACTGTTATCACATCCACTCTCCTGCCTTGTGCTCACAGCTTTCCACATGCATTTAAGTTGCTTTTTTATTCTGTGGTGGACTTAAATTGAAGGGGGGGTCAATTTATAACCCTCTTAAAAGCAAATACAGTAGTCAACATTTGAAGTGGATCAAAAATTGTTTTTCAAAATTGTCAAAAAAGGCAAGAATGGGGTTGTTTAATATTTAAGGACAACTTTGATAAAGGTTTTGAACCACTTCAAATGTTGAATACTGTATAGCTAGTACACATACTCATTGTATTTAAAGAGCTGTTGGCTCAAGGAAACCCTTGTTCAAATTTGGCTTGTAAACTCTCTTCTTTTTCTTCAGCTTTACGTTCGGTACTGTTTAAAAATGCCTGGAAGCCAATTTAAAAAAATTAAAGCTGTAATGTAGCCTATGTGTAATCATTGGCTAATAGGAAAGTGAGGCCAGACTGTGTTCAGGGAGAGCGTTATGTCATTATGTTTTAATGACTGGACAGCAGCTCTCTGCATGTGCCCGCGCTGTGACCTCACCCTGAACTCAAGCCTCACGCTGCGCATCCACTGCACCCTTTACATGTCACATCTCATAAATCTGCACGCCTCAGTCTCAGAGCTGAATAATGTCATCTTTTGGTCACCACCCATTGAGCCAATGGTGCTGCTAAGCCATAGCGGAGGAACCTGTTGTTTTGGAAAGACATGTCTGATGTCATATAATTGTGTCCTTTCTTTTTGGTGTAACTTAAAGTTCAGTGGCACGTGGTAACTGGGATGAAGCCTTGTGTTTAAGGTTGTGTAGTCTGTAAACGCAGATACTTCTGCATCGAGTGATTGTCATGACACATGGTCTTTTCTGCGTGGTGCTTGTGTTACTTTGCGATAACACTTCCGAAACGCTGGCTGTAGATTATGTTATGTATTGAGTTTCTTCATGGATGTTTTGTTTTTTGAATGCTACCTTAACACACAAGTAGCTAAAACTTGCTCGTTCAGAGGTGGGAACCGGCACAGCTACAAAGCCGACCAATCATAGAACATGCGATACGCGTCTTTGCGATGTGGTTACATTTTTTGAGAAGTGTGAATCAGCGTCAGCCATGGCGAGGGCTAAGCGACCACGCGAAGGCTCCGTCGGACCATACACATGCACTTGACACAGGAGTATAAATCAGCCTTAAAATGCAATACCATTTTTATGGTTAGATTTTAGTGTCATGCTATGCCTGTGCCGTTTTGCGCAGCCATCCAGGAAACAGAATAGAAATGTTTACCGGGTGTGCACTATGTAATTTATTCCAACTAGGATTGTAAAAAGTATCAACTTTGGTACAAATCAATGCTGAAATTTTAAAAGTTAATTTCCCGCTAACTATTGAGCACTGTGAAGCAGGTTCTTAAAATTGATGATTGGTCATTGTGTTCAACACAATCTCACGGCAATTCATAACTTTTTCATTTAGTGGCTAATTCGTATGAATTCGTACAATCTAATTTGTACAATTTAGTACGATTTGCTCATCCCCAAATGACGGTTGGGGTTAGGGGGGGAGGTTAGGTGCCACGCCTCCTTTTTAAAATCGTACCATTTCGTACGACTCGTACGAATTAGCCACTAAACTGGCAAAACGTAAAATACTTTTTCTCGTGAGATCAGGCTGGTTTGTTCACATTCATAACAGATATGACTGTGATTGAAATCACTTCATCGCTGTTCGTCAAATGCAAACACAGAGACATCAGCACATCTATCCACTGATCTGTCAGTGAATTGCTCATATATCTTCTTATAGACAGATCAGCTGACAGACGTGGCTTCCAAATTCTCCAGTGTCAATGTATCTGTGTTTGCGCTTGGTGAACAGTGGTGAAGAACATCCTCAACATCACTCAAATGTTAGCAGGATATTTTTATGGATATTTTTAAAATTACATTATTGATTGGTACCAAAGTTGATCATTTTGACAACCCTTCCAACCCACATTAAGTCATACAAGGTCCTGTGAAGTACTTTAAAATGTGCATTTTTTTTCTTAAATTTGATGTAATCTCCACAGAAACATAAGGACGAGTTGGGACATATAGTAGCTTTTCCCCTTTTTAAAAATAGCAAATAGTGTTTTGTTTTTATCACAGCTCTGCCAGTGAGAGTGGTGGAGATCAAATATAAAGCAAATGAGAAGTGTCTTGAAGTGTGTAGGACGTGTCAGATACTAGAGAACATTTGATTGGTCAAAAGATTTGATGAGAAACATGATTATGTCAAATAAATAGTTGATCTATTCAGGCAGAATTGACAATCATGTCAGCTTTGTATGTTTAGGACTTCTTAACGTGAATTTTGTCGTTTTTGGCATATATTCTTAATATCCTTAAGACTAACATACTGATGCTAACATCTATAAGCCTATAACCTTTAATAAATTAAACAATGTGTCTGAATACATGAAAATAATTGACAAATTTTATCGACTTATAAATTGATCTGTACTCTTTATCAGGAAAGGGCAACATGTTGAAATTACATAACTAACTTTCTCTTGCATATAAATGTGTTAAATTTTATGGAGATTAGGCAACTCCAGAGCTTTGAAGGGCAGAAGAGAACCTAATGCTGTCAGATGAGTTGTTTAGAGAGACAAATATGGCTTACAGATTATATAGTTTATATGTAGTTATAATATATATCACAGGAGATCATTGCTAATGAGCGATCCATCATTTTGTCAAGGGGTGTCCAGTCCTGCTCCTGGAGTTCCACCTTCCAGCATAATGTAGCTCTATCTCTAATTAAATACACATGAAATGAGTAATTCAAGTCCTTGGGATCACACCCAGACAGTTGTGTTGGCAGGAACTCTGCAGGGAAGTGTCCTCCCCCCAGGAGTAGGATTTACACCCCAGATCTTGTCTTTAATGAATGCATATTTTTGCTGCTATGCTGCCAAACCAATGCATTAACACACTGCTCATGTGCTTTCTTACAGCTGATTCAGAAAGACAGAGCAGAAACCATTGGACGTATAGCAATGTGGAGCTGTATGGTTTACAATGAGACGGACGACAATGTGGACCTCAGGCTCTGCCAGGACTTTGGACTCATCTTGTCCGTCTTCTCGTTGGTGTACCTCATTGTCTGCTTTCCAGTGGGCCTTTGCTACAATGCCCTGCTGGTGGTGGTCAACCTTTCCAACAAGGTCACCATGACCATGCCCGATGTCTACTTTGTGAACATAGCCATCGCTGGCCTGGTGCTCAACTTGGTGGCTCCTGTGGCACTGCTGGGCCCCAGTTTCACCCGCTGGCCCATGTGGGAATACAACAACGAGATCTACATCACCCTCCTCATTCTGTTCAACATCTCTTCCCTGGTCATCATGTACTCCACTACCTTGCTCAGTCTGGACTATTACATTGAGCGCGCTCTCCCACGCACCTACATGTCCAGCGTCTACAACACCAAGCATGTTTGCGGCTTCATCTGGGGCGGCGCCGTCCTGACCAGCTTCTCCTCATTGCTCTTCTACGTGTGCAATCACGTGTCCACTAAGATCATCGAGTGCTCCAAGATGCAGAACAAAGAAGCGGCTGACGCCATCATGATGTTCATTGGGTATGTGGTGCCAGCAGTGGCTGTGCTTTATGCATTCGTGCTTATCCTACGCATCAGGAAGGAGTCCACCCCTTTGGACCAGGACTCTGGAAGGCTCGATCCTTCCATCCACAGGTTGCTTCTGGCTTCCGTGTGCATGCAGTTTTTACTTTGGACTCCGTATTACATGACCCTACTTGTGCACACAGTGGCAGGGGCTCCCGGAAGCCATTCCAGCAAGCAGCAACTCATCATATACTTCTTCCTGAGATGTTTGTCTAAACTTCTCGCCTTCTGCAGTAGCTTTGCCATTCCTCTCATGTACAGGCAAATGAACAAGAACTTCTCGCATAAACTCCAGAGGCTTCTAAAGAGGCTGCACTGCGGGGACCAATCATGTCCTCACGAACGCTCGACAGTTCAGCAGGTGGTCACATGAGGATTGTGTTCAATCAGACCTGCTTGTCCCTCACTGGCACTTACTCTGAATCCACAGAAGTAGAGCCAGCACATGAACCTGGATATATATTGTGCTCCAAAAAGAAAGGAAGTATTTCGCTTACCACAAGGAGTGTCTCTGTGAAATTGTGGAACCTCCATAACACTTATCGACTTGACTTTATTTGTCCATCTCTGTGGTCAATGGACGACCAAGAAGAAACCACTAAGTGCTGTTTTTGTGTAAGCTGTGTCTATTCTTTGGGTTCTAATGCTTGGGGAATATCTCAACCCGTCTGTTGGTCCTTTCAGTAACAGGGGGTTGGATGTTGAACGTGTTTAATCAGTTACAGGATATGTGGTATAGCCTTTTAACGTGATGCTTTTAGACCAACTTTTTCCCTTTTAGTTCAAGGCCGCATTCTGCCCCAGGCTTTCTTTCTTTCTTTCTTTGCACCATAAGCTGTTCAGTCTAGAGTTTTCAGGTCACACTTTCCATAAAACCTCTCGGGTAGATGCTAGTAAACGCAATATAATTACCTCAATTTCACACACCAACGGGCATTACATTGGAACGGTCTAACCAACTTTTACAGCACCCAGAAATAGCTCGACGAGACTGATATCAGGGAGCGGGAAAGATGTGTTTGCGTGCGTGTGGTTGCCTGTCGATGGTCGTAAGTGTGTGTGTGTGTGTGTGTGTGTGTGTTCTCGAGTGCTTGCTGCTAAGGTGATGTGCATTTTTACTGCACAGCTGCTCAGCCATAGTAATTCCTGTGTATAGAGGAATTGAGACAAAGCTATAGAAACTAGGCAACAGATCACGGTTTTAAGGTCAAATAGTTAGAGATGTTTTGTTTTTAAATACCTTTTCAATCATTAGTCGGTTACTACTGGAATTATTATCAGTGCATCATGAGGAAGTGGTTGACAATTTATATGAGGAGTGAATCCAAGTTCATTTGATAAAGCAATACTACCCTGCTGAAAAATCCAGCTTAAACCAGTCTAGGCTTGTTAGCTGGTTTTAGCTGGTAAATAGCCTGGCTTTAGAGAGGTTTTGGCCATTTCCAGGCTTGTTTCCAGCCATTTCCAGCCGGGTCTTAGCTGGTCAGGCTGGAAAATGACCAGCTAAATCCAACTAAAACCAGCTTGACCAGCCTGATTTAAGCTGGACATAGCTGGTTTTGGCTGGGCTCCCAGCCTGGCTAGGCTGGTTAAACTGGTTTTAGCTGGTAATCTTCCAGCCTAACCTGCTAAGACCAGGCTGGAAATGGCTGGAAACCAGCCTGGAAATGGCCAAAACCTCTCTAAAACCAGCCTGATCTACCAGCTAAAACCAGCCAACCAGCCTAGGCTGGTTTAAGTTGGATTTTTCAGTTGGGTATCTATCGCAGGGTTGCCCAAAGTTGGTTTTGGAGGGCCAGTGTCTTGCAGAGTTTAGTTCCACCCCCAATTAGACACACCTGAACCAGCTAATCAAGCTCTCCCAAGTATACTAGAAACTTCTAGGCAGGTGTGTTGAAGGAAGTTGGAGCTAAACTTTGCAGGACACCAAGTTTCGGGTGATTTCCGAAAGAATTGATTGGACTTGAGTTCTCCTAATCAACGAATCCTATCAGTTCTGATGTGGATATGCTAAAGAAATCGCTTGTATTGAGATTAGTTGCATGAATGATTTCATTATATAGAGAAGATATGCATCAGCGCTCCCAATCTGGGAGAAAATCATAGACTTTTCCAGAAAATAATACCCAAGAGGCGGGATGAGAAATAGTTTATGCTAGTAAATGGTATGTTATTATCAAAAAAAAAAGACATCTTTGCTCTTATTTTTCTCGAGTGGATGCAGAATAAGTATATTTTGGACAGAAAGCACTGTATGATAATAGAAGAGTGGAGAGGGGTCATTTATATCCACTTATATGTGTGCAAGGGAAAGATTGTATTTAAAGTCGCGAAGGGGATTAAAAACAGTAACCCTCAATTATAAATGGTGAAATGGCATCAAAACGCAATGTTATGGCTGTTGTTAGCGAGCTAATGCCAGTATGTATCATATTACGAATGTGTATATATTGTACTTCAGAGATTTACTGGAAGAAAAACTAAACAGACATGCCATTTTAGGTTACAGTATTATTTTCGCAGAGATTTATTTAGATACTAAAGTGTCCGTCATCCTCTGTCCCATACCGAGTCAAAGACTTGTTCAATAAACTAACATGAATATAATCCTGCTTGGCTCTTCATTGACTCCCACAGCTTCAAAGAACATCACAGCTTCCCCAAATGACAAATGATGAAGCTTGTTTCGGATTGCATCAACAAAAAGGTATGGATGGCTGCGCTCGCTCTTTCATGCTAAAATGAAATGAAAATAAATATGGTTCGTGTAACAGATGCCAAAACATATTTTTCTTGCTTGGTGCGAGTCTCAGAATAGTGCCAGGCCCCAGGAGCACAAACCACACTGAAATGTTCTTTGGCAGAAGCGTCTTGTTTAGTTGCCCATCTGCAAAGCAGCAACAAGCACAGACATTAGTATCGTGAAAGATGTCTTCAACTTTTTATTCAATTGGCAACTGTCTTAATTTCTGGAAAATGAAAATTAGAATTGACTCACAGTTCACTCCCCTTCATGTGTCTCTAAACCGATTTCTTTCTGAACAGTAGATATTCTGAAGAAAGCTGGAAACTGGTAGCTATTGGAATCCATAGCAGGAAAAACATACTTTGGAATTCAATAAATTTATGACATTCTTTAAAATATCTTCTGTTTTGTTCATCAGAAGAGGTGACACCGTGGCGCAGTGCGTAGCGCTGTCGCCTCACAGCAAGAAGTTCGCTGGTTCAACACTGCAAAAAATGCTTTTCTTAAATTTTTTTTTCCTGGTTTCTAGTCCAAATGTCTAAAAATTCTTACATCAAGAAGGATTTTCTAGACAAGCAAAACACATTGGGCTCTATTTTGATGGTCCATGCGCAGATCGCAAAACGCAGGGCGCAAACGCTTTCAGGGCGTGTCAGAACGCATTTTTGCTAATTAAAGGATGGGAAAATCTACTTTGCGCCATGGCGCATGGTCTAAAAGGGTTGAGTTTATTTTCTTAATGAGTTATAGGTGTGTTTTGAGAATAAACCAATTAAAGTCTCATCTCCCATTCCCTTTAAGAGCCAGCTGTGTCGCGCCATAAGTGCATTCGCTATTTACAGGACGTAAAGTAAGTCTAAGTGGAAAAAATGAGCATTTCACTGGCAAACAGTTAACAGTTGACAGTTTTTTAACAGAAAACAGTTAAACAGAGCATCTACTGCGTGAGAATGAGAGATAATGGAACTACTTTCACTTTCGCTCTTGGATAGGGAAACCTTTAAGCACAGACATCAATTAGTCTATAAATAATTGATTGCATTTGTTAAGCGCAAATATTCGTTTCAAAACTATTTCTAAATTCAGTTCTAATTCCAGCAAACGAATGAATGAACAATAATAAAGAAGTGTGCTCAAAAACCTGAGTTATATCCTAAAACACATGCTGTGCCCCATATGGTCTAAAACCTGTAGGTGCATGGGCAAATCTAAGCTTGTTTTAATAAAACAAATATACATATGGATATAATAAATAACACTGCTAATAATAATAACATTATACAAAAGCAAACTGTTATGAATGAACTGAAAAAGCCTCCCGAGATGAAGAAGACATAAAAGCAGTGATTTTTCATATTTATGTAGGCTAGAAAATAATATGTTTTGTAATATTTTAATCCTTTATATTAATATCCTATATCTATTCTTATTATATCCTATATATATCCTTAATATTTACATTTTTTCATATGTAAAGATATTTGCCTATTGCTCTCTTGTGTGTATTAAGCAGTGCGTAAGCGAGGCACAACTCTGCGCCGGAGTTTAGACCGGGTTAGTTTTGGTCTAATGAAAAATCTATTTTAGTTTCTTAAAATAGCGACGCGCCAGCAGTGCACCTCAGAACGCCTTCCTTTTTAGACCAGAACGCCTATGGGTGCAAAAATGAGCGCTAATGCATTTGCTATTTAAACAGCGTAGCGCAACGCCTCAAAACGACTCTTGCACCAAGCTGAAACTACCAAAAGACTACTGCGCCACGCCTTGTGTATGATAGGGCCCATTGTCTTCTTTGAAGAACTAATATGCCAAAATTAAGTGAGTTTTTCCTTAAAACAAGCAAAATAATCTGCAATGTGGTAAGCAAAATAATCTTGTTTTTGCTTTCGGCATAAGATTATTTTGCTTACCCCATTGGCAGATTATTTTGCTTGTTTTAGGGAAAAACTCACTTAATTTTGGCTTATTATTTCTTAAAACAAGACAATGTTTTTTGCTTGTCTAGAAGATGCTTCTTGATTTCAGAATTTTTAGATATTTGAACCCAAAACTAGACAAAAAATCTAAGTAAGAAAAGCATTTTTTGCAGTGAAGGCCCAGCTGTAGGTGAATTGGGTAAGCTAAAACTGTTCGTAGTGTATGTATGTCCTGGTCCTCCAGATTGGGAGTAAAGTGTTGGGCTAACAACTTACCTCAGAAAAAAACTAGATGTTATGAAATGCCAATATGGTGCGCCTAAATATCAACTTCAATATAAATGGCCCTGGGAGTAAGTTGTTCATCTGAAGAAAGAAATTAAAACATGTTTATAACTAATTGAAGGTGTCAACAGTGACAACATTTTCCAAACTAGGAATTCACACTGTCGTCAGATAACTTGCCAGTTTAAAAAATTATATCTCAAGTCAGTCACCTTTATTGTGATACAATTGAGGGAACGGTCTGTGGGCAGGTGTTTAAAAGTATTGTATTGGATTTACAATTTTTATTTTATTTTTTTTATCTAATGTTCTCAAATATGCTCGCACAATTACCATTTGAACACAGAATAAGCCACCATTGTGTTTTCTGTTGCTTTGTTTTTTAATAAATTTACAATTTGAGGTGGCATAGTGTAAATCATGCCAGGTTAGTGCATTTTAACAACATGTCCCATAGTGTTTATGAACTGGGGCTGCATCTGAAATCACATATAGTACATTATAAACAGTGTCTAAGCAGAGTAGTATGTCCGAATTCATAGTATTCGAAAACAGTGTGCAAGCGGTACCTGCTATGATGGATGTTGTACATCCGAGTTATTTTCATACTACTCACATTGCGATAGACCGATATAACGTAATTTTATATGGGCCGTGCAGTAAATTTAAATACAAATGTAGTACACACTCAAGTTTGATGCAGCCTAGGTCAACATTGATACTACTGGTGTGGCAGTTTTTGTATTCAACAGCTTGGATGTCTATATATTGAAAGCAATCCAATTTATTTTCAACAACCTCTACAGAAGCAGTCAAAGTTGGACAACCTGACTGCTTCTAATAACTATAGGACCACACGGAATCTGCACACGCAGAAATCTGCAGATTTTTATAGATTTTTAACCCATCTATTTATGTTTATTCAATAATTTATGTAAATGTGTATTGATACAGTTTTTATATTAATTTTAGTAATATTATTAATACGAATAAGTGCATAAGATTTATTTACACTAGTTTGTACAGTAATTTTTTTTGTCTTTTAGTAGATATATTAAATGAAAGACTTGCTTTGTTTACCAAAAAACGTTGATCTAATTGTATTTGCATTGTAAACATTAAACAAAAGTTAAAATGCTATTATTCGTATGTCATATATTAAGTTTTTAGTTATGATACTTCTAAATCCACAGACTTTTTACAAAATTTTCAGCAGAAACAACAAAAAATGCCTAATGATAAACTATATTTATTGCGTCATGACCATATCAATGAAAATTAAGCTTTGTGAGGGCCCGTTCACAACAAGCACAACATATAGTCAAATCATTCTAAATGTAAAACAATAGCAAAGTTCAGACCACAGCTATTTACCGGTAAAGATGTGGAGAATAATATCATTGGGATGACAACTTTTTCCAGATAATAAACAATAAAATACTGACACCCAGTCAAAATCCATCATAATACAAAGGGAGGCCAGAAGTTGTTGAGACTTAATTTCATTAAGTTGATGTATTTCCAACTGAAACTAAATATTTAATAGGGGGGCAGGGCTTTCTTTTTGTGCATCATTCCCTCATAGCAACGGTCAGCCTGCGGTCACACTGCACTTTTCGCCCCATAGACTTCCATTCATACGCATGCAAATACAACAGACTGGAAAACACAAGCTCGTAGAGACGTTTCAATGTTCGCTGTGTTGTAAAGTTCAGACTTAGTGAACACTGACCTGCGAAATCGCTTAACGTGATGGTGTGAGACCAATGGAAGATTAATACATGATCTCTCTGGACAGAAATGTAAAATATTGACCGATTGCTTGCTTTTTTTATTATCTAATCATCTTGTTTAATCTCACCCCTTTTAGCAGCAACATACAACATTATTTCACAAGCATATGCAAGCATAAGAGTGTTTAAGAATACTGGGAGTCAAATTGATGTCAACAGAGAAAGACTGCCTTTCCAATTGTGGAAACAAATTCTTAGACTTTGTGTTAAAGCACACTGCTTGATGCTAAGCCTCCTTTTAAAAGATTACTGAAAGATAATATATGACTATTTACAAAACAATTGCTTATTCTATGGGACATGCTAAAAATACATAGAAGTTATGCAAGTCAAGCACTCAAAGTGAAGTTTATTTATAAACTAATTTCGAGAGGATCACGTCTTTATGATTGGTTGCGGCTGGTCCCGCATTATTTAATTTATGATTCACCAATCAGACGATTCATAAGCCACTATAAATACCCTCAGTTCCATATAACAGCCATCTATATTTTGAAGAATCCTTTCTTTCACCCCTACTCCTTTCCTAGATGGGTGGACCAGTGGTTAGCACTGTTGCCTCACACCAAGAACGTCACTGGTTCTAGTCCTAACCAAGCCACCTGACATTTCTGTGCCTTGTTTACATGTTCTCCCCGTGCTCATGTAGTTTTCCCTCTGGTTCCCTGGTTTCCTCCCACCGTCAAAAAACATGCAACTTAAGTTAATTGACTAATCCAAATCAGCACCATAGACATGCTCCTAGTAAGTAGTCATCTTTTATGAGCAATCACTATCTGTTCATTAGCTAATACAGCAGGGGTGTTCTCGAGATCTACCTGAGCTCAAACTCCCTTCTCATCTTGCAAATAGAAGGGAGCCCAGGGC